TTATGGTAAAATATATTGAGATATTAAAATCCGAAGACATAGTACATTCCGTTTTAAATTTTGAGCAGGCTTTTAACTATTTATTTATATAGTTCTTCGGTACATCAGTATTGATTTTAAAGCTACTCCACTTTAAAATGAATGATTTTTTTTTTAATTATTAATAATAATACCCTCGGAAAAATGGGCCATTGTGTTTACAGTGCGAAAATTATAAATTATAGAAATTACAAAAAATTATAAAAATTATATATACATAATATTATATAAGTAACATTAAATGTTGGATATAAGATTGGTGACTGTGATGAATTGAATGATGTTGGTAATGGATTGAGGGGGATTGCATATAGTTTCTGATAGTGATTCGTGTTGGTTCAAAGTTGTAGCTTCTTTGGGTGGGTATAGTATCGTAGGTTCAGCATTCTGTGAGTATGTGGTTGATGGTGACTTGGACACCGCAGGTTGTGTACATTGGGGGTTGAATGAATTATTTTAAGTGAAAATATAATTTAAAACACTTAATAATTTAAAATTATTTGTACGAAATTCAGATTTTGATAAAAAATGTCTATTWTAATCCTAATATTATAACTACTTAGATTGATTTATGTCTGTAAATAGATAAAAAAATCGCTTGATWATAATATTAATTTGTATAAAATATTGTATAACTTGCATAACGATTCTGTCAAGTCTTAAACCTTAACTCTTCCAACATAAAATTACTGGTGGAGTCCATTGTTTTAGCTATATATTAATATAATATATATATATATATATATACCAATATATATTATATCTGTAATACATTGATAAGTATTTTTGATAAATAACATATTTTCATTTCAGAGCAAATTACTAATAGGTAGGTACCTTTCTGCTACCCCTAGTGATACAAATTAGGTTGGTACATATCTTTACTTTGATGAAAATTACAAATTTCCGCCGATTTTATCTATTTTCAGTGATGGGTGGGTGTAAAATTATTGTTCTTCGTAAGTGATTGGTCCGTATATTGAAACCCCCGTGAGCTTTCTTTATGAAACGTTAATAAGCCAGTTGTAAATTCTATTATAACGATGGGTACATTCATTATTATTTGTACGTCGTATAATAAACGGTGTTTGCGTCTATATTACTTATTCTAATGGAAATAATTTAAATTTTTAATAAAATAAATATAATTTATTTTCATTTCACCCCATTTAAACTATACATAWTCATCATAATCCAATTGCATACCTGATTACATCAAAGACTGAATCCATCAATTCKGCGCCTTCGGAGTAATGGCCCTTTGCCCAGTTGTTTCCCGCGCCAGATTGCCCGAAAACAAAGTTATCTGGTCGGAATAAATTACCATATTTACCCGACCTCACCATGTCAATGCTACCAGGTTCTAAATCCACGAGTACCGCTCGGGGCACGTACTTTCCRGCTAAAAATTTCAAACATATGTCACACTGTTACAGGTATAACCACTTGGCTGGCATGATATCATTAAATACTAGRAATTGTCTGTATAGGTGATAATATTAGAATTCGTGTGTGCTGTCTTACCAAAGGCCTCGGTGTAAAACACATTGATTCGTTCCAACTGTAAATTGGAATCCCCTTTATATATTCCGGTTGAATCTATGCCGTGCTCGTCAGATATAACTTCCCAGAACTATATAATATATAATAAATGAGTCCATATAATAAAACGACATTAAATAACATTCTATTCCAAAAAAGTTAAGAAAAAAATCATGACGAAAGCGTATGTGCACTTGTGAAGTGTCGTTGACTGTCGTTAGTGCTCTGCCGACTTCTGACCAATCACAGAGGTCATACCATTTCGAGGCTACACAGCTTATTTATTTGGAATAGAGCGTAGTACATTGTGTACTTCCCCCAATCGCCTAAGAATTTCAAATTAATTTTCCAAAGCATTATCTGTAACGCGCCAATTTACTAAACATAGTTTACTTTTAAAATTTAAGTATAAAATGCATAAAGAAATCTTTATTTTTTTTTTTATTCATTTTTTCCTCATCCCCCAGAAAAATGTCTGATGATGCCTATATTGTGTGGAGTAATGATATAGCATCAAATAGACTTTCCACGGTGAGTGTCACAGCTTGTGTTCCGTAAATTACCTAGGAACTGCGCTGTGGTAACGYATTTGACAAGTTGTGAAACTCGGGCCAAAAAGATCGCTTAAGAGACCATCACTACACAATTGTGTTATACCAAGCCTAACCAAACCATGGCACGTTTATCCAATCAAGCCAACAGAACCCACGCGCCGAGCTGAACTGAGGGAAGCAATCTTTATATTATAATCAATAATAATTTTATTGTCCGACTATAATTACTTTAGCACCGATTTGATTGCCACATTGGCCAGCTTGTATATGACAGATTTCCCTCATGATTTTTATGTGTGATAAAATTTAAATTTAAAAATGAGTAAAATGTGTGACGAGTTACGCCGTTTTGGTGTAAAAGTATAAATTTACTTGTAATTTAGTAAGATAATTTAAAACATAATAATTTTTTTGTTCATTTAAAATTTGTAAGTATTAAACGTTAGTGTTATATTTTTGTTTATTATTTTAATGCTATGGATTTTAAACTTAATTTATAGTAATCATTATTAATGTTTGTTTG